ACCATCACATTTGCATAGTGGCATGGAACAGTAGAGTAGAGGCACTTACAGAAATTGCACACATGGGAAACATTTTTTGTGGCCTAGGGTCCAGGAAATGTTGGGCCTTTTATAAACGCATCTCAATTCTACATCAATTTACATGATTGGATAATTTATTTTTAATGATTTAAAACAAAAGTTGTTTAAAACAACTGGGAACTCGGAACTGGGAAATCTCTGACTTCCAACTTCGGTGCGTTCAAGACAACTGGGAAATCGGGAAAAAACGAAACTCCAACTGCGAAAATGTATTTTGAATGGTCATCCAATTTGGAATTCCAATTTGGGAACTCTGGCCTCTTTCTAGAGCGCCGACTTTCCGACCGGAAGATCACTGACGTCATGATTCAACCTTTTTTTTTTTTTCAGAGTTTCCAGTTGCCTTGAAAGCACTATAATACCGCACAAATGATCTAAATGACAGACTACTTTGACACTGAGAATCTGAGATCAATGAAAACGACCTTGTCTTGAATCCATCAATAGCCTAGGACTAGGTGTGTGGAGACATATTGTATGCTACAATATGAGGAGGAAATTATAGTCCTAAAAATGCTTTCCAGTTTCACTGACTCACCCAATGATGCGCAGCTCACTCGCTGGTGATGGCATATGCGCTCGTGCCAAAAGCCTCTCACTCTCTCTCTCCCCCTTGTTTTACTTTATAAAACTATATTTGGAAGTTGATCAAATCTTTTGGAGGCCTACAGTTGACAGATTAGAGTCAGGAGAATTAACGAAGAGGCAACTCAAATAAACTTTGATCGCGTTTATTCGAATATTTACATTGCAAAACGTGACAATTGTTTTTCATGCCAGGAGAGGTACCGGATCCGGCCAAATAGGTTCCGGAACAAAACAGTCCATAACAGAGAGGTACCAGGATCCGGTTCAAATTAAGCACTGATATGTATACCGTAGCTAAGAAAGTAATACTAAGTGTATGTTGTGTAGTACGTTTTAGTAGCACATGTGCCTCACCCTAATAATTTGGTCCCTTTTCCACTCTTATCTTAGCCTACTGTTCTGACTTGGTGGTGCACATGTAGCCTATAACTTGTTTTAGAGAAATGTAATCCTCTAATATTGTAAGAGCTTTCATTGTCTGCTTATATGCCCCCTTTATTTATCCTACGGTTCTGACTTGGTGTACAGGGAGAACACTGTAAGAACGGCCCATGTTCTGAATTCTGTCGTGCTGAACAAATAGTTATGTCCTAGCTAGTCCGTCCTAGCTCGCTCATTTAATGTCTTAATCGAAATTATGAATTGCCTCTTATCCACTCGTCGTCCCCTTAAGCCATAGTTTGTACATCTCAATTGTCAGTAGAAACCACATTGTTTAAGCAAGTCAGACAAATTTATGGCAGTAAATGAGGCTGAAAGAACTGTTTCGCTGTCAGACAAGGCTCTGCTGATAGCCAGGTGTAGCAGTGGTAAGGTGTTGGGACTGCTATTGGGACAGCTTTATGTAGGCCCTAACAGTTTGTGTGCGCCGTTTGTCACAGTTATAGTGCAATTGATGTATTGTTTAGTGTTGTGTAGTGGCTTTGCTGGCATGCATCCCCCCCAAAAAGTGTTTGCCCCACCAAGATTTACATGCTAAAGTCACCACTGGTAGTTATCACACTAATAAACTGCAAAATAAGATTAACTTATTCAATATCTGTGCAATGCGTATTTATTTCATGTTTCATGGCAGTTTAAGAATTCCATTTGGAAAGTTTTTGCCAATGAAAACATTTCCAACTCAATAAATGAATAGAATAGAATGTATTTACATTTTTTATTTCAAATCAAGTACATTACATCTTGGGACACACTTCAATGATTAAATACACATGAAATAAGAATTCCTTTGCCTCTATTCAGTTACAGAAAACAAATAAAATGTGTATGATAAAGCTGTGCTGAAAACAAGTTATTTTGGCATGGTTTCTTCTCAGCTAGTGTTTCTTAAATTAACAAAAGAAAAAAACCTAAGTAACAAAGAAAACAACAAGATGCCTCACACTATTCAACACTAGAATATGAAAACGTAGCACCTTGTACCAGTCAAAATATATATATATTTTTACTGGTTTGTAGTGGATAAGAAGCAATGATATTGAGTGGGGAGACTCAAGGATATGATTGAATAATAATTCAACATCATTGAAAATGGTATAGAACATTCCCCTCCCCAACGGCTTCTTTTGGATCGGGAAGGCAGACAGTGCAAAACAAAAACGTTGATCAGGTGAAAGTGATTTGACTACTTTGATGTAAAATATCAGTCTGTTGTAGTTGATGATACACAAGCCTCATCCACAATATTAGAATACAATTCCCACTGTATATTTGATGCCAAAACATGACCAACCTGCCAAAATAAATAAATACTGTACATTATGTGCTGCTAAAATACAAAGTAAAATTAGATCTGAAGGTTTACATACAATGGTTTCTAATAAGGAACTAATGCTAACCCTAAGGCACTGCTCAAAATAAAGCTAAAAAATAATGAAGAGATGTGAGGCAGTGAGATCTAGCTATGGAAACTGGCAAGACACATGAACTACCATGTCTCCACAACTAAAACTCATTACATCAGTAATGACAAATGGAACACCAACAGCCATTCCAAATGTAGAATTGACTAGTCCTAAAATGTTACTAAAAACATTTACAGACATTTCCCCTACTGGCTGAACTTTTATTGACCAGAGGTAACAACAACCAGGTCTGTGATAGGCCCACAGTGTGGACGATAACAATACTACACATGGTGATGCTATACGCACATTATACATACTGTGAGAGAGGCCACTCAGGATGGGAGTTCCACTCACTGACCCTTAGATACTGTAGAGCCGAGGTCTCAATCTAAAATGTATTTTCAGTCAGAGCAAAACTTTTGAATCAATGTTAGCTAAGCATAGTTAGACTGATGTCTACACTCAAACCCCTTCAAAACACACATAAAGAAAACAAAATGAAGAAAAGAGTCATCAAACATCTGTGCTCTCTAAAGTCTTACAGTAGTGGAGGATACAGAGATATACATATATATGTGTGATCTAGGTTATTGGATCAGTGGGGCATAGATAGCAGTGACAGAGCTTTTGTGTAATGTTTCAATAAGCAGTTCTGGCTACAGTAACAAGGATACATTTCTAGGGGTGATGGATGGGTTACATTCAGCATTTACATGCAGAGAAGTTTGCTTTCCTTTGAGTTGTACTGTACTGATTAAACCACTAAGTGGTGCTAAAGCACACACAAAGGATTGTTTAATTTCGAAGTTGCATATCCAAAAATGTTTGTCAAAGGCAAAACAAACGAATAAAAAACAAACAAAGGTTCAGAAAATCAGTTTTGTTCAATGATGCATGAGACATACATTCAGGAAAATAAGTTAGTTTTACATGGGCCACCTTTAAGACTTATTACTAACGTTAGATCCCAATCATATTTGGTATTCATTTATTTACTATAAAGATTAATTTAAGGAAACCAATAAATACTAAATGAAATATATTAAATACTAAAGATATAAATAACTTAAAGTAACTGTCCAGTGAATATCTCACTTTTAAAAGTTTATATTCTGTTAACTCAAACCCAAATAATGTTGTTGACTCGTACTATACTTGTATTTGTGGCCAAAACATAAATTGGAGAAAAAAAGACTTCAAAAAGCCCACATCAAACTTGTATCTCAAACAGACCATTTAAAAAATGCTTGCAATTTCCTCATATAATATGATGTCATGTTGGCTCGTTGGCTGAGCTGGCCAATCAGCGGTCTGCTCGCATGATTATTTTTAATGACCGGTACGCGCCCAAATCATTCTGTTGGGGTACGCCCATACCATTCCAACACAGAAAAGCTGCTTTTTAACATACTTAATTACTATTTCACTCATATTGTAATGAATGATTGAATTAATAAATAAATTATAGGTCATATTTCATTGAAATCTGGAAGGTTACTTTAAATATTTGGGACAATAAAGGGAGAATTATCTTATTTAAAATGACATCTTAGGCTGTTCTCTGAGAAAAGGAAAGAAAATACTGACATAGGATTAATTTATGAATAAAGTAAAACCACAAACTCCAACTGCTGTAATTGCAAAATGTTAGGAACAGCCCTTATAATAAAAAGTTCACTTCTTGTGTGTACATTGGGGGAAGTGTTCCGTGAACAAAATGTTGAGCAGTCCATGCAAAATCAACAACACTTAATGATTTACTGTACATTATATGCGACTGCATTGCCTATTCTCATAGCTACCCACAATGCAGTTACTGCCTGGGCAAATATGTAATCTTGATTTACATGCGTTTGTCAAGTAATACATCTCTGTTGCCAGTGGAGATTGAACATTTGCAATACTTTGATACAGAATAATCAAGTTATTACCTGTTGAATCCTGTTTTAGAGAGTCAACCAAGACTTTAAAAGAAGAAAAATAACTTAATACTGAAGAAAAACATGGTATTAGGCCCATTAAAGTCATAGACAGCAGCTTTCAATTAGATTATGTCCAGTTTAGAAATGTGGTTAATTAATCTAGTCCATCTGTAGACTTTTGTCAGGTTTTCTTGTAGGGTCCTATTGGTGACCTTAGTAGTAGTAGTAGTATAGTTGCAGTCTACTTCATGTCACTTCAGTACTTCTCATCTTCCCCAAGCATTGAAAGTGCCAGAACAAAATTGTAATATTCATATAGAGGTAAGACGCTAAAGTGTATTTACAAATTACAAGCAATTATACGTAAGGGCCAAACACGCCAATGTATAATTTTGCCCTCAACTTTCCTCATATAGTGAGAATGGTCAGGCAGCTAGTAAGATACACCTTCACTCCATAGTCTCTTCAGCACCAGGTAAGACACCATTTCCACCATGAGAAAGTGAACCCAGACCCGCATTGTAAACCTCCCAGATGCACAAATAAAACGTTTAAAAAGAAACACAAAGAAACGCAACAAAAGTGTGACAGGTGTTGCTACGTACCATGCTCAAACCTGCCCTGGAAGTATCCTGGCTGTGCATGCCACCCTTTCCCCGAGTTCTAAACACACACACACAAACACACAACGCTCTCTCACACTCACACAAACACACATAGACTCCAGTCCTCTATGAGCGATATTTATACATTTTATAACAAAATTATGACATGGCGAGAGGGATGGAAGACATATGGTCAGTTTCCCTGACGCCACAACTCCTGATGTGATAGGAGGAGAGGCATGGAGGGGGGTGGAGACAGAGACAATGGTTATCCAATGAGGTCTCCCAACTGCCCGCATTGTGTTATGTGATGTCATAATACTCTCCAAAAAGATCATCTAAGGCCACAATGTTCATCGAGAAAGGAGTGTAAACACTGAAAAAGAAGAGGAGAAAAGCCAATCAGCCACACACCTTTTTTTAAGGTCCATTATGTAGTTGTGTGTATGACCCAACATTTCAGATAGAAATTAGTTATAGATATGTCATTCTCATTGAAAGCAAGTCTGATAAGCAGTAGATCCATTCTATGTGCAATATTTCTATGCTTCCCCTCTGTAAGTTTCTTTTTTGCTTCTTTTTACTTTCAGTTTTCAGCTTCAAACTACAATATTTTGTGTTATTACTGGTTATAAAGATATTTCACAGCAGTCTGCTTGTTGTGTCACACAATCACGCGAACATTTTAGAAACCAGGAAATGGCAGAGCTATTTCTACCTATTGCTCACTTAAGAAAAGCAAAAACAGTAGTACTAGATAGAATAACATTTCCCGACAATATTAGCCTATAGGTTAGGGAGGAGTGTCTGTGTGTAGGAAATAGAGGTAAGATGGAACACACCCCTTTATTTAAGGCACTTCAACAGCTACTCCTGGAGTCCTGTTTAGGAGTCGACCCCCTGTTGAGGACTTCCTCTTCCTCTGCATCCTCCTCCTCTTCCTCCATCCAGCCTCGCAGCGGGGTGGGCATACTAGACAAGTTGACTGCTGTGTGGCCGCTGTGCGTCTGCAAACCTGATTGCATAGATAGAGGGTCGGCGCATAGACAGTTAGTCAACTGGATGTCATAAGCTAAAACTAAACCAACTACCAAACATGCTCCATCTGACTTTAGCCAAGATCCTAAGTAAAACAGATGAATGATTTGTTACGTACCAGTGTTGCTGATTAAATCTCTCATTGGCATTGGGTTCTGCCACTGGCCTGATGTCCTCTGGTGGGGGAGCGAGCTCTGTTGATGGACCTAGGGACAGAGAAGGACATGCTTCACACACACCAAACTTCGATGTTTGTTTGGTTACCGTAACTTCTGTTAATGAATTCAATATATAATTATTATAGTATTTTACAGTTCTCACTGTTGGAGTGGAGACGTTGTTTGCAGAGCGCACAACTTAGGCTACACTTGTGAGAAACAAGTTTTGGTTTATTTCATTCCATTTACGTGTTGTCAATATATTCAGTGTTTATTTTGGACCACTCCTGTCAATGTTGAGTAAGGATGCACACCTGATTACGCATAGAAGTAGGCCTAGGCTACCTGGCCCGCGCGCAAATGTAGGCTTATACATGTGCCCATTTGGGGATCTGATAGTATTTCTGATTGTCTTAACTCACCACAGCGGTGTCTGTCCGGAGCTCACTGGCTCATGAAACTCTGAGGGTCCAGGATATTTTATACAATGTTGCATGTTTGTTAGGGCAAGCTTTGGGCTGGACCAAGTTGATAGTTGATACAATGTTTCAAGTTCCTTGCAGACAGGCCATGCGTAGTCATTGTGATTTATATTTATTATGATATTTTCTACCTGCAGGCTGCAATGTTTTTATTCGTTGGCGTTATGTATGCTATTTTTACATAGTTGGCAATGGCAATAGAAGTTACTTTTAGATTTGTATAATTTCCATTTAGATATATATATTTTTTAATCACATGACAATGATTTTGAGATATGACGACTTTACTATAAAATAAATGAAACTGTTCCATGAAAATGTGCATATGAAAATCATAACTGGCACGCAGATCGGTAGAAATGGGAAGATAACTTGGCACTCGAAATAGAAAAGGTTGCCAACCCCTGGTATACCCTATTACTGGCAACTTCGGGAGCGTAATGGCACAATCTGCGAAGGCCAGCAGCAGCGGCGGGAGGTGGTGGTCAAGGGAACATGTTTTTTTCTTCTGCTTAGGCTATCTTGATCTCTGGCTCACTCGTGTCATTTCTGTGTCTTAATTATTTAAACACAGTGTGCTTAAAGCATCAGACAAGCTCAGTAGCCTACATATAGTTGATTTTATTAAAACACATAGGGTGTGTCTATATATGGAAAAATACACTTCTTAAAATTTCGACCAGTCGATTGGTTGAAAGAACAGACGACTATTGGTCGACCAAGATTGGTTTTAGTCGGGGACAGCCCTAGCGTCACAGTTAAATAAACAGAAGGACCTTGAGGCCATCCCTTTGAGGTTACCTACCTCATGCATGTAAATAGCATGGAGACTCATCTCGGCCGAGGCAAACTCTGAAAGCATTGTAGTGCTCTTGATCCGAGAGTCACTGGCTGACATGCTGAGAAAATAAAAACGACCTATTATCAGCAAGCCTAAAAAAACATCTAAATACACTGTTATTCATCACTTCATCCACCCACTTTCAACTAACCTCAATATCAATCAATAACACACTTTTGGCATGCAAGTCTCTAATCAATCAACACTTTTGTGTTATGGATGAACCTAAACAACAGTGTGTGTTGTGGAGTGTGTTTGCAGAGCGTGGCGTCTGTCTACCTACCTGTCGATGCCGGTGCGGTCGCTGCGGTACATGGTGCTGTCGGGGTGGATGGAGGGCAGGAGAACATGCGAGTGGGATCGGCTGGCGTTGGGGAGCTGGGAGTGGGAGATGGACAGCGAGGACAGGACGCTGGCGGCGGCAGAGGCAGCCGTGCTGGGAGGAACGAAGCAGCGGTCTCGGCCGGGTAGGCCTGACGCGGTCAGAACAGGGTGGGCCAGGACACTGGCCAATAGGTTGTCAGGCTGGACAGGAAAACATAACCCAGAGATACAGTGGTCAGTATACAAGCAAACTGACAAATATAACACAACATAATGTAAACCAATACTAAATAAAAATCTTTGAGAAATTACAATACATTGACATCATTGTTGGATGAAACCGTTTGAATGTTAGAGTAGGGGTGCTGTTACAGAGTGTTGAGGCAAATATCTTCCTGTGTACTAACTGTGACTGACTATGAATTGTCTGGCTGGGGATTGGGGAGTGGTTGGCAGTTAGTCACTCACTGCGTTGCCGGACTCGTTGGAGAGCAGTGAGGTGCAGAGCGGGGCCTCAGAGAGCAGCAGCTGGGTGGGGGGTCCTCCCTGAGCGTCCTGGTGCACCTTCTCCTTCAGATGGCTGATGAACACTGAGCTCTCCTGGGGGGGCTGCCAGCGGGGGTTCTTGATGGTGAAGTGCATCAGGGACAGTTCAGTTTTGCCGTTCTCAGCCTGCTGGTACACAGACGCCTCTGTCTGGCCCTCTGACATCCACTGTAAAGACAACAGGTTCTACATCACTCACAGGAACTTTGCCCAACAAAAATATGCATTAACGCCATTATGCATAAGTAGTCACTAATATCAGGACAACAACAACACACACATGAACTGAAAACTGATTTGTAATAACATGTACAGTATGATTGATAACTTGGCGATATCTGAAAATTAACAGTATTAGTCTCTCATTTCAACAAGCAAAATAACAAATGCTTTTGTAATAATGACACGATACATCTTTCCTAATACAGTAAATATCCTAAATGACTGAACGGAAAGCAGCAGAGACGACCTGAACTCACCAGTGGGTTTCCGTGGCGACGGATGTCCATCTGTGCGAAGGAGCAGATGTCGCCGACCCCGACCACCTCCACGGTGAAGTTCCTGAAGAAGTCGATGATCTCCAGGGACTTGTTCCTCAGGAGGAAGATGAGGATGAAGGGCGTGACAATGGGGCTCAGCAGTTCCTCCAGGATGAACACCTAAACAGACAGACAGAACACTGGTGAGTTATACTAGAAGGGGATTCATATTGGGAAGATATGTTCAGATCTGCACGCTTAAAGGGATACTTCGGGATTTTGGTAATGATGCCATTTATCTACTTCCTCAGAGTCAGATGAACTCGTGGATACCATTTTTATGTCTCTGTGTCCAGCATGAAGGAAGTTGGAGGTAGTTTCGCGAGCCAATGCTAACTAGCAATAGTGGAATGACTGGAAGTCTATGGGTATCTGCTAGCATATAACCTGCGACGCCATTCATTGATGTCAATGAGAGAGTTGCAAGAACAGTTAAGCACTCGGATCTCAAGTCTGACTACTTTACATTGTGTCACCCAAATAAATGTTTAAAGTGCCGTAACATCAATTCGTTCCTGTGTGGGAAGTGTCATATTATGGTGAAGTCATATGAATTAGAATGTATATCAATAACTACTTACAATTAAAGCACTTGTTTAGGTATTGAGCAAGTCTTGGGGAGCCCTTACATGTCTGTTACAAGAACATTTTAATCTCAGACCATATGTCATTAAGCCATATATAGTTCAGAAGTTCCTTTCCATCTAAGGCGCAGCCAATAAGCCGTCTCTATTTACTGTCTGGCCCGTCTCACCCACCGCTTTGTACTGAAACAGCTGTGCCACCTCGTCCCGGGTCTCGCTCTTGTTGGCGTTGTTCCTCCAGTGGTCTGGCATGTAGTGGATGTGAGCAAGCACACACTGCAGCAGCTGCTCCGGGCACCACACCATGTGTTCGTCTGGGATGAATGACCTATGAGGGCATATTCACACATACGTCATCTCTATTTCACACAACACATTAGATCTGGATCATGGACTGGTATGTCTGTGGGTTTAACATAGGCTGAATTTCTTTATAGAAAGACATTCCTCCCTTCTACCCCCTCGCTCATTCCTTGACGGATCGGTAAGAATTGATGGGGTTAGAATTGGTAGGGGTGGCAACAATATCGTGGAAACTAGGTTGAGCTGTTCCATACCAACTCATCTGCAATGGGAAGCGGGAAGGAACGACATCTTTGAATGAAACCCAGCCACAAATCACTACAAGATCATCCTGAGAGGTCACCATTCCCCCTGTGGAAGCCATGTTGTCCCCTCGCTCACCTGGTGATGGTGATGACCACTCCCAGCACGGTGATGGCGGTCAGGATATGCTGCACGGTCAAAACGTCCTCGTCGTACACGGTCAGCGCGATGAGCACGGCCAGCACCGAGCCCGAGAAAAATGCCACATTCTTGGCCAGCACGGTCAGCAGCGGTGAGGTGAACGAGTTCATGTACTTGGAGGTGGGCTTGTAGCCGCGGCCCAGCCTGCCGTGCAGCTCGTGGTCCAGCTCGTTGAAGTGGCGCAGGTAGAGGCGGCCGTACAGGGACCAGCGGCGTGCTCCCAGACTCCCCGGCTCCCTCCTGATGACCTCGGTGTAGCTGAAGAAGGCGTAGAGCACCTGCCACACGAGGATGAAGGGGCAGAGCAGCAGGTTGGCCACGCCCATCAGAAGAATGACCCGGCTCAGTTGCTGGGCCAGCTCCAGGCGGTTCCCTGCACGCTTGTACTTGGGGTGCAGGTTCCATTTGTTCTGGAAAAGCGACCCCGGACCCCAGAAGAGAATCAGCTCAAAGTTGTACTTGAGGCCCTGGGTGAGGAACACCAGATTGCCCAACAGGGGGAGCTGAAGCTGTACAGGTAACAGGGACTTATTGACCATGGCCACCATGTAGTTCTTGAAGCGCAGGATGCGGTGGTAGATGTCCAGCTCAGTTAGCTCCTTCTTGTGGATGCACATCTGCTGCTCCCGCTGCAGGCTGATCAGACGGTCCTGCACCTCCTGCCACGTGAAGTTACACAGCTCGTCCTGGAATGGCGAAAGGGCAGAGGTCAAAGGTGTTCAGAGACTGTACCGTGATGAGGGACACCTTGATATGAGGGACTCGTGTGTAAGCTGGGGTGGGTATGACGACAAACATTTTTCTTGACGTCTTTTGAAACCATTGTAATCCAAGCAATCTTGCTAAAACTACCTTGAAACAATTGGCAGACCAGAGTTTCGTGAGACTGTAGGATCACGCCTTACCATTCTGATCTTTAGTGCTTTGATGTAGAACTGTCGGATCTCCCAGTAGCGGAGGATGTTGCAGAAGACCTTGATCATCCGGTAGACCCAGAAGATGGCTGCCATGATGAGCAGGAAAATGATCCACCGGTTCTCCTGGATCCTACAGAGGAGAAGAAGGGATGACAAAGGGGGAAAAACACATGTTTACGATTCATGTTTCTGGTCCTTGTTTGACATTAGCGGTTCATTCCATGTAGTGGAAAATGCATGTGTTTGTGAATCTGTATAGATAGGTGTGGGAAGATGGTACGAGCCATCCATCGGCTGCATAAAGAGCAGGTCTAAATCATTCATTTTCACCATTGATGTATGACCAAAATAACCATCTACGAATGAGAGTAAAGGAGCCTTATAAATCTGTTGCTTTAACCAACCACATGTTGTAATGTATGTTGTGGGGCCTGAGAGGTAGAGCTCTGCTACTCGACCCGAGCCCGATGGGTTAGGGCCGGGTAGGGCATGTTTTTCATCAATAACTAGGGTACGGGCAGGGCTCAGGTATCACTAAATTGATCACTAACATTTTGAAGCTGAGCCATTTGTGCTTGCTCTGCTGCGCAGTACAGTCATATCTAACTAAGATCATAACATGGTGTCAGAAGTGCTTCAACCTCGTCAAATATAAAACAGGAGAGATCATATCGCAAAAAATAAGTTTAGAGTGTTTAGAGTGACAAAAAGTAGCTAACAGCTAACTGCTGTCTCATGTCTCTTCATTGAGCAGAGCAGCAGAGCGGAGCCGTTGCTGTGGATACTCACAGACTCAGAGCCGCCATGAGCGGAATGCATCCAGGCAGGGAGCGAGCGACAGACAGAGAGGAGCAGCTAATGGATTTACTAACGGAGGAAGTTATTTCTGATTTTGGGCAGGGACGGATTTGGCAGAAGCAATCGGGCCTGGGTAGGTTAGGGCCTGAACGTCGCTTGCATGGGAAGAGCTCGGGCTTAAAATTCATGCCCGTGCAAGGCTCTACTGAGAGGTATCTTAGGATACTGCACTCCTGTTTACAGTTTGTGGCTTGGTTATGTCTTACTAATGTAGTCTCTCCTGCGTATCAGAGAATTGCTGAGAATCAGCTGGTAAAGTATCCCATTTCAAAACACAGAACAAGTCACACACAGGTCATGATCTAGCTAGCCATCCTGGTAAACATATTCAAGAGAATAAACATAAATTCAGGAGTTTAATTTTGAAATTAAAAACCAAATACAAACAACGTTGTGACAAAGTTAGGCTACTTCCTGATTTGTGTGACATCTCTTTCATTTTAAGACCAACTCAATGGTGAAACAGAGAGGAGTTGGGGGGAGGATGGGAGAGCAGACTAAGTCAGTAGTTCTAAATGGTGGGACATGCTGTTCCTGGGTTAGAATTCCTAGCAGTGGTGTGTCATCATCTTCTATATAAACACCCATTCAGTCACTGAGGTTTTTAGGGAAGGGAAAGGGAGGGGGGGGGGGGGGGTAGTGTCTAGGATAGTGTTTGAGTGCAGAATCAGCTTAACGATATTGCAAAAGACAAGCTAGCTTGTTTATCCATTTTGGAAAAAGATTTAGCTGTGGTGGTGGTGGGGTCTGGGTCTTGCTGCAGGACTAGGGGGTGTCATGTGGTCCACAGGCTGCCTGCCCAGACTTCACAGTGACTCCTTCCAGCTACTGAGTCTTACCATGCAGGGACTATCCATTACATTGTTTTCCCTGGTACTACGCTGAACACAGTGCACAGATACACAAATAACCTGCTCCAGGAACCTGTCATCCACTACAGGCTGGTGGTGTTGCAACTTGCCTAGTGTTTACAAGTGTTTTAGGCGAAGGCTATGTGAATCAGCAGGGCTATAATCATAGTAGGATATATACGTAACTGAATCCTTTTTTTTTTTACACTTCATTTAGTGTTTTGAAATAAACAGTTAAAATGTACAGTAGTTGCTAGGCTGTATAAATCCCATAGAGAATGCTAACTAAATGCTTATGAGCGCATTGCAAACATTTTATACAGTCTCAAACACAACGTGACTGGGGACTACAGGTAAACTCATAATGAAAAATTATGTGACAGGTGAAATGAAGAATGCGATCTTCTTTATCTCCTAACGTATTGCACAAGTTGACTGCAGGTACTTACTTAAAAAGTAGCTACAAATATTCAAATGTATAAAAGAAATTCAAAGAAATAGTTTCAACGGTATTGAAAAATAAATTAGCAAAAATGCCTAAAAACCTGTTTTCGCTTTGTCATTTTGGGGTGGTGTCTAGATTATAGAGTTTTTAAAAATATTTTTTATCAATTTTAGAATAAGGCTGTAACGTAACATGTGGAAAAAGTCAAGGGGTCTGAATACTGGCTATCCATCCATCTACCAATATATATATTAAGACAATACTGATTGACGTACCTCTCAGTGCACTGCTGGCTTGGTAGGATGGCATCAGGCAGAGAGACCTTGTTTCTGTCCAGGGGGTTCTGGCCAGGTCCTGTGGGGTTCACTGCCCGATTGGCAAACAGGATATCATACTCCACACAGTTGAAGAGGAATGTTGTGAACGTGACCACAAACAGCAACTGACTGCAATAAGGAGTTTGAGATGTTGGGGTTAAACATTAGCAGATATAAATGTTGAATATTTTCTTAAAAGTAAAACATATCTTACATTAGCATGAGGATTGTAAATAAATCGATATACTTACAAAAGTTCAAAGAACTCTGATAACATCATACAGGCAAAGCCATTCTTCTGATGGAACTGATAGATGTGGAAATTAAAGTTAAGAAAAACAGTATTAATGGGAAATTCCACTTCATAACCTCATATTCATTATCTCCAACACCATACCAGTGTCTACATACAGTGGGGAGAACAAGTATTTGATACACTGCCGATTTTGCAGGTTTTCCTACTTACAAAGCATGTAGAGGTCTGTAATTTTTATCATAGGTACACTTCAACTGTGAGAGACGGAATCTAAAACAAAAATCCAGAAAATCACATTGTATGATTTTTAAGTAATTAATTTGCATTTTATTGCATGACATAAGTATTTGATCACCTACCAACCAGTAAGAATTCCAGCTCTCACAGACCTGTTAGTTTTTCTTTAAGAAGCCCTCCTGTTCTCCACTCATTACCTGTATTAACTGCACCTGTTTGAACTCGTTACCTGTATAAAAGACACCTGTCCACACACTCAATCAAACAGACTCCAACCTCTCCACAATGGCCAAGACCAGAGAGCTGTGTAAGGACATCAGGGATAAAATTGTAGACCTGCACAAGGCTGGGATGGGCTACAGGACAATAGGCAAGCAGCTTGGTGAGAAGGCAACAACTGTTGGCGCAATTATTAGAAAATGGAAGAAGTTCAAGATGACGGTCAATCACCCTCGGTCTGGGGCTCCATGCAAGATCTCACCTCGTGGGGCATCAATGATCATGAGGAAGGTGAGGGATCAGCCCAGAACTACACGGCAGGACCTGGTCAATGACCTGAAGAGAGCTGGGACCACAGTCTCAAAGAAAACCATTAGTAACACACTACGCCGTCATGGATTAAAATCCTGCAGCGCACGCAAGGTCCCCCTGCTCAAGCCAGCGCATGTCCAGGCCCGTCTGAAGTTTGCCAATGACCATCTGGATGATCCAGAGGAGGAATGGGAGAAGGTCATGTGGTCTGATGAGACAAAAATAGAGCTTTTTGGTCTAAACTCCACTCGCCGTGTTTGGAGGAAGAAGAAGGATGAGTACAACCCCAAGAACACCATCCCAACCGTGAAGCATGGAGGTGGAAACATCATTCTTTGGGGATGCTTTTCTGCCAAGGGGACAGGACGACTGCACCGTATTGAGGGGAGGATGGATGGGGCCAGGTATCGCAAGATCTTGGCCAACAACCTCCTTCCCTCAGTAAGAGCATTGAAGATGGGTCGTGGCTGGGTCTTCCAGCATGACAACGACCCGAAACACACAGCCAGGGCAACTAAGGAGTGGCTCCGTAAGAAGCATCTCAAGGTCCTGGAGTGGCCTAGCCAGTCTCCAGACCTGAACCCAATAGAAAATCTTTGGAGGGAGCTGAAAGTCTGTATTGCCCAGCGACAGCCCCGAAACCTGAAGGATCTGGAGAAGGTCTGTATGGAGGAGTGGGCCAAAATCCCTGCTGCAGTGTGTGCAAACCTGGTCAAGACCTACAGGAAACGTATGATCTCTGTAATTGCAAACAAAGGTTTCTGTACCAAATATTAAGTTCTGCTTTTCTGATGTATCAAATACTTATGTCATGCAATAAAATGCTAATTAATTACTTAAAAATCATACAATGTGATTTTCTGGATTTTTGTTTTAGATTCCGTCTCTCACAGTTGAAGTGTACCTATGATAAAAAATAACAGACCTCTACATGCTTTGTAAGTAGGAAAACCTGCAAAATCGGCAGTGTATCAAATACTTGTTCTCCCCACTGTATGTGAGGTGTCTACATATTCGTTTCTATGATCAGTGGTTAAAAAGATAATAAGAAACGTCCAAAAAATGCTTCACTGTGACATCACATTTTTAAAACCTGCATTGAGTTTCTAGTCAGAGGGAGGGTATTTTTTCTCTCCACGTCACCGCAAATCTCTGTTTCAAAATCACAGTTTTTTAAATGTTTTAACTTTTGATGATGTCATCATATAGAACTTTTTTACTTAGAATTTCAGCATTTTTACATATGTAGACAATGATATTGTGCTGGGGATAATGAAAATGAGTTGAAAAGTGGTGGAATTTCCCTTTAAGTGTTGGCATAGCCTTGCGAAAATATTCACCCCCTTGGCATTTTTTCCTATTTTGTTGCCTTACAACCTGGAATTAAAATTGATTTTTTGGGGGGTTTGTATCATTTGATTTACACAACATGCCTACCACTTTGAAGATGCATTTATTTATTGTGAAACAAACAAGAAATAAGACCAAAAAACTGATAACTTGAGCGTGCATAACTATTCACCCCCCCCAAAGTCTTTGTAGAGGCACCTTTTGCAGCAATTACAGCTGCAAGTCTCTTGGGGTATGTCTCTATAAGCTTGGCACATCTAGCCACTGGGATTTTTGCCCATTCTTCAAGGCAAAACTGCTCCAGCTCCTTCAATTTGGATGGGTTCCACTGGTGTACAGCAATCTTTAAATCATACCACAGATTCTCAATTGAATTGAGGTCTGGGCTTTGACTAGGCCATTCCAATAGATTTAAATGTTTCCCCTTAAACCACTCGAGTGTTGCTTTAGCAGTATGCTTAGGGTCATTGTCCTGCTGGAAGGTGAACCTCCGTCCCAGTCTCAAATCTCTGGAAGACTGAAACAGGTTTCGCTCAAGAATTTCCCTGTATTTAGCGCCATTCTTCATTCCTTCAATTCTGACCAGTTTCCCAGTCCCTGCCAATGAAAAACATCCCCACAGCATGATGCTGCCACCACCATGCTTAACTGTGGGGATGGTGTTCTCGGGGTGATGAGAGGTGTTGGGTTTGAGCCAGACATAGCGTTTTCCTTGATGGCCAAAAAGCTCAATTATAGTCTCATCTGACCAGAGTACCTTCATCCATGTTTGGGGAGTCTCCCACATGCCTTTTGGCGAACATCAAACGTGTTTGCTTCTTTTTTTCTTTAAGTAATGGCTTTTTTTCTGGCCACTATTCCGTAAAGCCCAGCTCTGTGGAGTGTATGGCTTAAAGTGGTCCTATGGACAGATACTCCAATCTCCGCTGTGGAGCTTTGCAGCTCCTTCAGGGTTATCTTTGGTCTCTTTGTTGCCTCTCTGATGAATGCCCTCCTTGCCTGGTCCGTGGGTTTTGGTGGCCGGCCCTCTCGACAGGTTTGTTGTGGTGCCATATTCTTTCAATTTTTTAATAATGGATTTAATGATGCTCGGCTGTTCAAAGTTTAGGATATTTTTTCATAACCCATCCCTGATCTGTGCTTCTCCACACTTTGTCCCTGACCTGTTTGGAGAGCTCCTTGGTCATCATGGTGCTGCTTGCTTGGTGGTGCCACTTGCTTAATGGTGTTGCAGACTCTAGGACCTTTCAGAACAGGTGTATATATACACACTGAGATCATGTGACAGATATTTATTTGAATTTTTTGAAACAAGTTATTTTTTTCATTTCACTTCACCAATTTGGACTATTTTGTGTATGTCCATTACATGAAATCCAAATAAAAATACATTAAAATTACAGGTTGTAATGCAACAGAATAGGAAAAACGCCAAGGGGGCTGAATACTTTTGCAAGGCACTGTACAAAACAATCACTCTGAAGAAACCTTTGATGGTTAATCAAATAACGACCATGTATGTTTTTTTAAGTAGACTTAACACATCCCCTAAAAAAATAAAAATAAGCAACTTGAAGTGAACCAGTCTGGCATCAATATCATTAAAGTACAGAGCATTTGTTCTGGAAGAACACACATAATTGAAAGTCATTCTCCTGTGGCAAGTGTCTAATTTAAAGTCACTGTGCATCATACGTTGCAACATCGTACTGTCTGAATTAGATTAAAATGTAAATACTGTGTCTGAAATTGCTTCTTTATAAATGAGATCATTAGGTGACAGTACAAAAACACACATTATAAAGCCGCAATTTTAAACATCAACCTGAAAGTAATTATTCTTACCAAACCAATAAGCTACAGTATATATATTGCCAGAGAACCATTTTTATCCCAACATTTCTTAAAAGGATATTCTTGTGAAGAAGTTGTCCAGATTCTTGATATGGTGCCATGAGTCTGCAAATTAGGGGTGGAAATAAAGAGATTAAAAGAAACCATTACTTTTTAAAAACAAAAGTTTAAAATATATATATATATATACACACACACACACACACACACACACACATACAGTGAGGGAAAAAAGTATTTGATCCTCTGCTGATTTTGTACGTTTGCCCACTGACAAAGACATGATCAGTCTATACTTTTAATGGTAGGTTTATTTGAACAGTGAGAGACAGAATAACAACAAAAAATCCAGAGAAACGTATGTCAAAAATGTTATAAATTGATTTGCATTTTAATGAGGGAAATAAGTATTTGACCCCTCTGCAAAACATGACTTAGTACTTGGTGGCAAAACCCTTGTTGGCAATCACAGAGGTCAGACGTTTCTTGTAGTTGGCCACCAGGTTTGCACACATCTCAGGAGGGATTTTGTCCCACTCCTCTTTGCAGATCTTCTCCAAGTCATTAAGGTTTTGAGGCTGACGTTTGTTAACTCGAACCTTCAGCGCCCTCCACAGATTTTCTATGGGATTAAGGTCTGGAGACTGGCTAGGCCACTCCAGGACCTTAATGTGCTTCTTCTTGAGCCACTCCTTTGTTGCCTTGGCCGTGTGTTTTGGGTCATTGTCATGCTGGAATACTCATCCATGACCCATTTTCAATGCCCTGGCTGAGGGAAGGAGGTTCTCACCCAAGATTTGATGGTACATGGCCCCATCCATCGTCCCTTTGATGTGGTGAAGTTGTCCTGTCCCCTTAGCAGAAAAACACCCCCAAAGCATAATGTTTCCACCTCCATGTTTGACGGTGGGGATGGTGTTCTTGGGGTAATAGGCAGCATTCCTCCTCCTCCAAACACGGCGAGTTGAGTTGATGCCAAAGAGCTCGATTTTGGTCTCATCTGACCACAACACTTTCACCCAGTTCTCCTCTGAATCATTCAGATGTTCATTGGCAAACTTCAGACGGGCATATATATCTTAAGCAGGGGGACCTTGCGGGCGCTGCAGGATTTCAGTTCTTCACGGCGTAGTGTGTTACCATTTGTTTTCTTGGTGACTATGGTCCCAGCTGCCTTGAGATCATTGACAAGATCCTCCCGTGTAGTTCTGGGCTGATTCCTCACCGTTCTCATGATTATTGCAACTCCACGAGGTGAGATCTTGCATGGAGCCTCAGGCCAAGGGAGATTGACAGGTCTTTTGTGTTTCTTCCATTTTAAGAGTGTGCTCCTAATCTCAGCTCGTTACCTGTATAAAAGACACCTGGGAGCCAGAAATCTTTCTGATTGAGAGGGGGTCAAATACTTATTTCCCTCATTAAAATGCAAATCAATTTATAACATTTTGTTGTTATTCTGTCTCTCACTGTTCAAATAAACCTACCATTAAAATTATAGACTGATCATTTCTTTGTCAGTGGGCAAACGTACAAAATCAGCAGGGGATCAAATACTTTTTTCCCTGACTGTACATATCCTTTAAAAATATATATTTCCCTTTATTACTTTCCAACCCCACCACCCCTTCCCTAATTGGAGTAAACTAGTGAACAACAATGCTTAGGCCTCTACTTCCAGCTTATACATACTATATACATTTTATGGACAGTCAATTTTACAATAATTATATATTGTTTGTTTTTACTCATGAACTTCCTCTACCCTCAACCTCTCTGATCATTTTCATCACTTTAAGTGCTTATTAGTGATGGGGGGGGGGATCGATAGTTACATCTCAGGGTATTATTTTTGATGAGACATCATATCGTTTGACAATATTGCAATATTATTTTTGTGCTGGTTGGCTGTACCTGCACCAAACTCCAGTATTTTTCCTTCATAGCTTGTTCTCCATTTTTATTTTTTAAATAGGGAGCCAATTTGTTTTCAGGACTTTTATTTCCATGAATGATCAAAACTCGTTTTGTCATGGCTCTCTTGTCCCTTTGCAGCAGATACTGTATATGGTGAGCAATATGTTTAGAACATCGAACCGCAATAAAATCACAGTATTGACATCGCAATACATATAGAATTGTGAGAATCGTAATGCATATCATATCGGCACCTAAATATTGTGATAATATCATATCGTGAGGTCCCTGGAAATTCCCAGCCCTAATGCTTATAGGAAATAGGAATCGTGTCATTACTGTGTCATTACAATAAATCACTATCACACCAAATTATATTGTACCATAAGACAGCGTTATGTCTAGCCCTGATAGGAGAAGATATGTTATGTAATATAACCGGTACAGTACCTCTCAGGCCCTCTGGCACATGTACTAATAGGTCCTCCTCCCCATGAGGTGAGTCCTCCTCAATGTCCTCAATCCGCTGGTACTCCTGGTAGGTTTCAAAGTTGGCCATTGTGCTTCACATTCTCCCTGTACCTCCTCCAACAGGCAAGTTAGGAACACACACATACATACATACATACATACATATACACACACACACACACAGTGTTATTGTGATGTTGATTGAAAAGAGCGGCATTGAGCATAGACTACATAACGTTACATGTCGGCTGCGTGAGACAATTCACAGCAACATGAGCTGTCAACAAAATTCAACTGGAGGGTTAGATAACCAAGGGTAACGTTAGCTTTAGAATATCTGTTATATATATATTTGGTTTTCTATGCAGTTGCTAGCTAGCTAGTTAACAACATTCGTTAAAACAAAATCAGACAGGTGAGAGGGACTGCTAGCTAGTTACTGTACGTTAGCTATTACGCTAACGTTAGCTAGATAACGTTACGTTGAATGGTTACCTAACTCCAACAAAGCAATAAACCAGCAGGTAGCTAGCTATCTAGCAAGGTAGCTACCTAACTGTTCTTACCTCTCTCAGCTTATTTTCTGGCTAGTCAGTCAGCCAACGTCCCTCGTTTATCCTTGACTGTCTTAACGTAACGTTAGCTATGTGGCTAGCTAGCTATTGTTCCCTTCTCGGACCATTCGCTGGATTCGTGATTTCAAGTAGCCTGGATTTCTACGTTATTTGTCGAGCTATTAGCTAGAATACCCAATGTTATATATATAACTAATAGACATTTAGGGTTGATAACAACTATTTAGGGTAGATTACCTAGATAGCTAGCTAGATCCTTTGAGGTGGGCTTCCACTGTTCTGTCTTTCACAAACAAACGTCAACAAAACACCATTCGACGTCACTTGGTTTTAACGATCGTCACTTCCTCAAGACGATGTATTTTATTCTCCACTCTTTTTCTTTTCACTAATGACACACAAAATCGTTGCCAATGATGGTCAAGAAAATTAGCAATAAGAAATTATGGCCAGAATTATGCTGTAGCCTTTTACATTTGTTTTTCGTGACCAAAATGCATGTTTTCTTATTATTGTCATATACAGTAAATGAGATGCTATAGCAGCCTGCATGTTGTTCCACCTTGTACCCAAAGATTGTCATAACTAACCCTGTTGTACCCTTCTGAGTTAAGCGCTCAAGTTCTTTGCATTTTGTTAAATTTCCGTGAAAACATGTTTCACTTACTTTGTAACGTTAATAGAGTCAGCACCACAATATTTATGGAGACAGCCACGTTAGGACAACTTGGTGGTCGACTAATGCCGGTAGTCAGCTGATCAGGGATTTAATCGTTAGCCAAACACTTGCAAAAAACGAGAGTTTCTATTGGACAAATTCAGGTAGGTTCCTCCCCGTTTCGTTCAATTTGCTTCCGTTTAATACGCCCCAGATTAATTAGTCCACCTCTAAATTTCGTTTACTGTTCACAGTAAAAAGTGGTGTTAATGGAATCCACCATCCAGAAGTGTCCCATGCCTCTTGTAACTTCTTTGTTTCACATAACAATACATGTAATGAGAAGCCCACCACATAGTAGTCAAGCTCATGTTGCCCATGTTTCTCAAACTTGCACAATAAAGATCGCACTACAAATAGTACAGTTTACTGTACATTTAAGTGATAATGCCCGAGAAGCGGGTGTTTGGAGGACATATTGGCACGGGTGTTGTAAGGCCCGAGAAGAAGTCGAGGGCCGACAAACCGTGCCAATATATCCTCCAAACACCGCCTTCGAGGGCATTATCACTTTTATACAAGGGGTTACCAACATATTCAAATAATGATTTACATATTTTCATTAACATTTTTATTTTTATTAATTTATTCATACTATTTCATCCTTCTACAAGATATAGTCCCGACACAAATCTAGGGTTGCTGGAGACGTGACCCAGTCATTCAGTCTTTTTGTTCTGTATCAATGGACGTGACCCAGTCTTTCGTTCTAAATGTTCCATTGCCATACTGTCTGTCAACGTTCTGATCCCTTGCTCGCTAGCTAGCCAACTACGGCTAATTTACAGTCACCTCAAAAAGTGCTGCCAAAATAACGGCAAAGTATCTGCATTTGCATTTGTTTAAGCTGTTTTCTACGGACATTTATTTGGATACATCCATACTAGGGGTGTAACGATTCGTTTTAACAACGATTCGATTTGTATCACGATTCGTGGTTGTCGATACGATTCAAGGACGATATTGGTTCATTTAGAACGATACGATCCGAAACGATTCAGTGACTTGAAATCGATTCAGTAACCTTTTAGCCAAAAATTCAACCAGTGTGACTGAAATAAATACCTGGATACTGGACAGTGCAGGTGAAGTTTCCTAGATTCCTGTTTCTTGTAATGGAATCAGGTATCAATTAATTATGAATATAAATAAACAAGTAAACAACAATGAATGGCAAATGCATTCACATTTTATTTGAATAAAGTGCAAACAACACTTTAGGTTGAATTAACAGGAAGTTAAAATTGTCTGATCTCATTTTCAATATTCAATACATTTTCAATAAAAGTACAGTAAGTGCAACCAACATTTAAACAGTAGGTTTACCTGCTACTTCTGCTTTTGTTTTTCAACATAAAAATATTACAATATTAATATCAAAAATAAAGTGCAACCAACATCTCTTCAGGTTGAATTAACAGTAGGTTTACCTGCTACTTCTGCTTTTGTTTTTCAACATAAAAAAATATTACAATATTAATATCAAAAATAAAGTGCAACCAACATCTCTTCAGGTTGAATAAAGAGTAGGTTTACCTGCTACTTCTGCTTTTGTTTTTCAACATTACAATACAAATACAGTATTAATATAAAAAATAAAGTGCAACCAACATCTCTTCAGGTTGAATTAACAGTAGGTTTATCTGCTACTTCTGCTTTAGTTTTTCAACATTACAATACAAATACAGTATTAATATCAAAAATAAAGTGCAACCATCATTTCTTCAGGTTGAATGAGCAGTGGATGAACCTGCTACTACTCTCATTTTAATAAACAAACAATATTCAACAAAAGATCAAGTGTAACCTACTAGGCTACTCTTCAATGACTACAGATGTTTTTTCAAAAATATCAACTGATCAACATGATCTGGCTGCAGAACACTTCTCTGTGCGTTCACTATGTCGCCAGCAGTACTAAAAACTTGTTCTGCTGGCACACTGGTGCCTGGAATGCACAGGTACCGTTTAGCAAGGGTGGAAAGTACAGGTAGCTCTTTCTCCTGAGATCTCCACCACTTCATGGCATTTTCAGTCAAAGGCAACGCATCTTTTGCTCGGTACTTTAACACCTCTGCTCTGGCTGTCTCGCTTGTGGATTTTCTTTCTCTTTGGGTGAAGGAATCGCCAAACAGCGCATCTAAGGCTTTCTTCTTACAAGGAGGTGACTCATTTGGAGCTACAATATAAGAAATATATTTCAAAATATAGTCATGTTTCTCATTAATACAAAACAACAACAATCTTTTATTGGTATCACATGAAACACACCTGTGGTCTCTTCATTGAATCCTGACAGCTTTGTGCTTGAGCTTCCCTCGTCTTCCTCCTGATTTCCCATTGCTTGCATCTATTGATGTAAGAATGTGTGAACTGTTCAAATTTCTGCTCTGTAATACTGCACACATAAATTTAGAGGAAGATAAAGAACAGATGAGATTTGAGAGAGGACAAATGAAAGGGGAGAAGAGAAAAGAGCAGAGGAAAGAGGAGAGAAGAGTTACCTGGTGGGACACTTCTGCCTCAAAAACCAGTTTTGTGTAGACCTGTTCTCTGTCCTCTTTTTCCAGGTAGGGCAGTTCTTTAAATCGCGGGTCCAACGCTGATGCTGTTTAAAGAACAAGAATATTGCATTCATTGCATTATTAAATTAAGTTGATCTGAAATTGCAAGTGATGACCACCTCCTCATACACAAAATAATCAGAAGATTAAACTTTAGTATGTTTAAAAGAAATGTGGCACAGTGATGATGTAAAGCCACCATGAACTAAGAATTGTATTGCAGATATCTTGTTTACTTTTCCATATGAAAAAACAACTCAAATTCAAACTTGAAAACGCAAAGGTGTGGCATTTTACAAATTAATACAGTCTAATAACCTAAAATATTAACCAAGTTGATTTTAATTAAGACTCCAAATTAATTACCTATGTTGAGAGCATCTTGGGTGCCTCTGTAGCGTGTGGAGAGGTCACTGGCCATCACCCTCTTAATCTCTGCAACCAGGGTTGAGTCGTCTTCGCATGGCTGTAGGTGTTTCAGCAGTTTTGCTTGAAGAGGAGCAATTACAGAGAGAGTTGGCTGGTCTTCTTCACACATCACAGTGGTTGCCATTTTGACAGGACCCATCAACTGAACAATGTCATCCATGTTGGCAATATCACTCTCACTCATCGTGCCTACATCTGTGACCCCCTTTCGTAGATCCTTGGACATCAGAGTTGCCATTATAGCTGGCTGTTGTTCCAAAAAACGTTCAAGCATTTCGAATGAACTGTTCCATCTGGTGATTATGTCTTGGATCAGTTTATGTTTTGGTAAATCCATCAGAGTTTGTTTTTCCTGTAGGGCGTGACATGCAATCGGGCTGCGGTGAAAATATCCAAAAAATTTTCGCACTTTCCCCAACAACCTGGAAGCACGGTCCACCCCCAAACCCTTCTGCGAGGCAAGGTTGAGTGTATGTGCGAAGCAGGTAATGTGTGGACTGAACTGGGCTTCTGCACCGGCCACAATCATATTCCTGGCGTTATCTGTGACGATGGCAGGATTCTTGTCGTAGATTTTCCACTCCATAAAGGCTTCACGCAGTAACGCGCCAATATTTTTACCAGTATGGGCTTCATTTAAAACTCTGGTTAGCAGAGTTTTTACTTATTTCCCTCATTAAAATGCAAATCAATTTATAACATTTTTGACATGCGTTTTTCTGGATTTTTTTGTTGTTATTCTGTCTCTCACTGTTCAAATAAACCTACCATTAAAATTATAGACTGATCATGTCTTTTTCAG